TCTGGCTCTTAGAAAAAATGCTATGGTGGAAAACTGTCATAAAAGTAAGGTCTTCTTTTACTTCGTTGTAGCCAGACCGACAATAAATGACTAATAGCACCAATCAACCTTTGTAGTCCTATCCCTCCGAGGCGCCAGGGTTATAATATATGGCCTTACAAAAAAGATGTGAAACTATTCAAGCATGCTACCATATTAATATAATATTATCTCGATCCCTTAAGTGCCATTTTACTGACTTTCTTGGAAGATGCTGAAGTTCGTATAATATTATATAACTTTTGCAGAAATAACAGTTTTTCTAATTATGTGGATACCTTTGTAAAGTTCCATATAAAGGCCGACCAAGGGGATTAGATTGACGAGATAAATGTGAATAAATACCAGTCCCGAGGGTCAACGGAAAATGTTTCCGGTGTCTGCAGACAAATAATGAAGAACAGAAATTATACGCTTGTACCAACTAGCGATGGCTCCTAGTGTCCAAAAGAGTATTTACAAGCACAAACCTTATGGATCTGCAGTAGGATACCTACAAAAGAGTGAAGCTGTGTGTCCAGGAGCATCGAAGGACAAGTCCATGGCTACGATGAACAAGAATAAGTGTATTTTATCCCATAAATCCATTTAGATGCCTTTAGTCGCTGGAAGCAATTCCAAAGAAACTCTTGCGCTCTAAAACCCAAAAGCAAGTTGATTTTATTTTTGTGTAAAGTTGACTTTTTTACGATTTCGTCCTTCTGGTGTGAATGAGAGGAGACTGCTGCGAGCCTGCTGTCATAATTGGCTGGAGAAATGTACCAGCACGGAGATCACGCCCGTACCACCTACTCGAACCATGGCTTCACTGGCGACGGAAGTGGAGGTGTGGTGACGACAGTGCCGAGGCCCATTTCTGAGGCGTCGCTGAGGTCAGTTCATGTGCTGCCACGGGACTGGATAGATGGCCTATATGCCTGCAACCACGATCGGCGAAGCTGTAAGTTGGCACGTTTCCATGGCGATGTGGATGACAAGAGACTGGGAGCGGAAGAGGGTCAGACAAAGTGGGATTGTCTGCGAGCAAAGGGAGGTGGACCCCAGCCAGTATGAGCCAGTGGACGGAGCTTGGAGCAAGTAGTGTGAGTATGAGATGGTAGTTTAAGAGAGATTTGATGTGGGTGGTTAGAAGTTGGCAGTTCAAAGGAAGGCAATATCAAAGGCTTTGCGGATGCCAAGATTAGTGGGACAAATGTGTGCATGCTGGGCAGGGTAGGCTGGAATATTTGCGAATAAGTGAAATTAAGAGGGAGAGCCACAGGGAGATGTATTCAGGGCGTGAGCAAAAGTACCTGATGCTGCGTTAGAGAGTGGAAAGCTTTGCTACTGAATTATCATGGAGGAAAATAAGTGAAAGGGTGAGCGAAAAAAAGCGATCAAACGGTGGCTGTCAAGCTATGGAGGAATGATCTGGGATTATGTCAAAGGTGCTTTGCATACTTTTTTCTGAACTACCAGAACTGGCTGCTTGAGAAGAAGCAATTCAACGTAGAAAGTGACTGTTGTTGTAAGTAGCTGGTATGCATGATAGCTCGTTTCGCAACCAGCATGAGACTGATTGTTGGCGAAGTATCTTATTTTCGATTGGCTTATTCCTAGACTGATGGTGAATTCGCTCACGATCAGTTGAAGATAATATTTGATTTCCGCACTGAGTTCACTTTGTAAAATAGGTCGCTCATTAAGTCGCATGAGCCTAGCCCCATGATGGTTTCGCGACAAGCAAGTGGTGCATTAATACAAAATTCAACAGAAAATTATGTAAATTTTGAGTGTCCTGCTTTGCTTTGCTAGTCAAGCTTGCTGTGTAGTAGAATGCAGCTGCAGCCAAGAGGTTTGCAGGGCCAGTGCAGACGTGACGATGAGGCGATGTCGAAAGTGTACCAGAGCCGAGACAAGAGTGCTACTCTGGGGTGTCGGATCTTCAAAGTCTGTTGGGCAGAATCGCTCTCAGTCCACTGCCAGGGGCAATAGGAACCGGTGGTCCTCGCAGAATAATGTCCAGCCTAGGATGCACCCCCTTCCTTCCGTCCTAGGCACATCTTGCATGGCCATTCAGTCATCTATTCACATCATTTGATAGGATTTCCTTGAATTTATTGCGCCTATAACTTGATATTCCCTCTCTTAAGGCCTACTTTCTGCATTCTGCTACCCCTGCATGGCCTGCCATCTATACAACAATTATGGTGAGGGTTGTTGGACGCCGTTTTGCGTCCCAGGCTCAATGATGCTGCTACGCAACCAGCACCGATCTAGACAAAATATTCATGTAAGTTGCATCCCCACCT